ACAAAATCGTGATTGAGATTCTAAAGTCAAATTATTTTGGCATATTGGGAAATGTGTAACCATTATCTATCATCATATCTTATTGTTGACTTACCTTCACTCTTTCATTGACTATAAGAACGATGACAACATGAGTAGAAGTAATGTCGGTGCATGAGATAAATTTTTATCAGATATTACATTTTAATAGTTGAGATCATGAGTTAATCGAAGGTAGACCACCACGGAAAGCCTGAAAGCATTGAACGACCGTTTCGTCCTATCGTGAGACTCCTCAGCAGTGCGCATACACGATTGACTCATGATCTCAACTATTAAAATTACCATAATATCCACACACACACACAAACCCTTCTGATATGAAATATCACATTGTTTACGGACCAGAATGTTTAATAAAAATAGCTTATTTTGCATGTCGGTCTCATTAATACTGAATGAAATATATTTCATTTACTCTTTATATGAGTTTTTGTTTTTAGCATTTAAGTCACAATGTTGTTTTGTATTTCAATATAACTCTTAAGATTAAGTTTACTCTCTTATAATCTAAATATTTCAAGCAATTGCCGTTCAATATAAACATTCAATCATATATTTCACTTAACTATTGATTAGTACAAATAAATAGGTTAATTTTCTAGTCGATACCATATGTAGTTAAAACAAATGAAATATATAACAGCAATACTAACTTAAATAAATGTAATTAGTATCAGAAGGGGTTTTGTGGATATTAGCCCCCAAATACCCTGGTACGGCTGAGAGTGGGGAGAGTCCGCTCTCCCTCTCGAAATGCTCTCACATGGCCACGCGTATATTGCCTCTGCCAGAGAAGTCCTACTCATTGCCTTCTCGTGGCGGGGGTGTTGTTTACGAAAATGAGAAGACGAAAAGCGAATATCCGGCACTTTAACCGGGTTGGTGGACATGGAGAGTCCACATAGGGGAGTTGGAAAACCGTGATTCCAAGCCAATGGTGTACATGAGCTCCAGTATCCTGAAGAAACAAATGGCGTATGAACCAATTGTTGGTCACCGGCTTCCATGGGACTGTATCTCCTTACGATGCTCCACTGCCTTGTGGATCAGACCTTCAGGTCGAAGGCTCCGGATGTGGCCCCCTAAGAAAACCACCTGCTTCGGTTTGGGCACCCGGACAGTATCACAGCCCTCACACATGTCGAATGAGATTTGTGTGGTGCATATGTATTTGGTGCCCCCTTGTACCAATATCTGTGTTAAAATAAATAATAAATAAATTTGTGGATATTATAGTAATTTTTAATAGTTGAGATCATGAGTTAATTGAAGCTAGACCACCATGGAAAACCTGGAAGCACTGAACGACCGTTTCGTCCCATTGTGATACTCCTCAACAGAGAGCATCAACAATCCCGCCTCGCGAGATTTAAACCTAGGACCTATCGTTCCTAGCAATCACTGTAATTACATAACAATGAATATGTTTAAGAAGAAATGAATAAAAATCTTTTAAAATCTGAACTGATAATGAAGAAAAACAAGATAAATCCAAGGAATACAGTGGTCTTGAGTGCTGTTAGACAAGACAATTAATTATTCACTTGACGAATATTAGGAAAAAGATAAAGCAATGAACTGAAATATCCGTGCATTAAGCTAATATTTTACAACTTCAACTACAGTAAACAATGCCAATTCTTTTTTTAAACTACAGATAGTAGCTGAATTTCATAATGGAAACTTTATTTGATAACGCCCCCAGTATAATTAAAAATACATTTAAGTTAGTCGATCATATATATATATAGGTTGCAATGATTAAAATCAATGAACTGCGTAATTTCCACCAAACACAAAGTATAGTAAAAATATATTGAAAATCCATAAAGTGATATAACGAAAATGTGTTGAAAGTCAACCTTACATTTACCTTAAATCGATATAAATTTCCTTCCTCATAAGTTGTACATGCGGATGGAACAACCCCAACACGAACACAAGTCAAAAATAACTTACAGATTAGTCATACCACTTTTTAACACAAAGGTAAGGCTTGAATTTATAGACTGCCAAATCTTCCGCTATGTATAAGTTTTGTATTCAGCTTCCCTTAAAACCAGTTTTTCTGACTTGAATATTTTTGTAAAACGTTTGTGGCATCGATAGTTGAATAAATTTGGCTAGGTATTTAACAACAGAGATATTTAAATAAAGCACGAATAACAAGATTTACATAATAATATAAATTCGTTTTATTTCAAGGCGTCTCATCAACTGTAAACAGTCTAAATTTACATCAGTAAAATTATTACGCCAAGTTTTATATGACCGTGATCAATAAAGTTTAGTTCGAAATAACAAGAGAAACAACACATTTGACATAACATTTTCTATATGCTTTAGATGAAATCGTAAGAAAAGAGAAGGAGATAAAGTGATAAGAGATAACAAACAGACAGTAAAAATAAATTGTTAACAAATGAGCAATAATCAAGGCACCTAGTTGACATGATATTCAAGTTATTATCATTACTAAACGTTAGGGGCATTTTTTAAATCTTAATTTCTAAGATTGATAGATTCTCATTCACTTCTAGATAATCATGGTGGATATTGTTCATACATGTGATGGGAAAAAGCACACTTTGTCATGCCAATGAAACACGTTTCTCGAAACCAAGTAATTAGTAGTAGTTGATTTTGCTTTGATAAGTGTAAAACTAGGCCTCAACTCAATAGTTAGTAGATATCATGATTGCCAATTCTATAGAATTCCCGAAGTCATCTACATATAGCGTCTTGGGTATAGAATGCTTAGAGACACTGAGCTACAACAAAATAGTTGTGAAGCATTTTCTAGTTCCGAAACGTTCATCAGTTTGTCAATTTATGCCGACAATTATATCAAAAATTTAGTATTATATAGAGCAATTAGAATTTTGTCGCAGAATTCATGAGAAATGATCTCTCTTTTTTCTTTTTTTATTCAAAGGAGAATTTTACAAAATTTTTGTAAAGGAATGAATTAAAGGCTAATTAATAGCTGAATAGTGCAAAACTTATAGTGGTGGAAAGGGGATTTAATGTTTAAAACATCCAGCTTTTGATCATTAGTTCTCAGGTTCAAGCAAAAACTCATGAATATTGATGGATGTAACTGAACAGTATTACTAGTCCCCACACAACTGAAGTATGTCTCTAAGTCTAATAGTTAAACATGCAGGTAGTTAAATAGGTTAACAGTAATAATATTCATTTGTTAAAGGAATAAATGTAATTATTCCGAAAATACAATTCATATAGTTCTCAGTTTACTATCTCATATTACAGACTTGGTATAAATTTTCTCTTAAACTGGATGGTTTTAAAGATCATATTACCTACTAACGTCCTGAAGATTATGCTACATAGTTACATGCATATAGTTGGTTGTCTTTATCTTCAATGTGTCATATTTCACTGGAACTATCAAAGAAACAAAGACATTCTGGTTATCTGAAAATTATAGTTACAATCGATGATAATGTAAAAGTTTTTTCCCAGTGAAAACATAAGTCATTAATTGTATATTACATGACTGACATACAATTTATTGTTGAGACCAATGAAGATAATTTTAAATTTTGACTAATGTTTAATCATAAATGCCAATAGTGATATTTGTCAGTGATACAGTGTACCAATAACACAATGTGTTTTCATATATTCAATCTCCTTGCAGACTATTTAGAATATAAAACTGTACGACTGATAATTCTTAGAAAATATAATAAAATGCACAAATGATACTGCATTGGCAAAATTGATTATGAGGACATATATATCACACTCCTTGTCAACCTAAAACACTAATTTTGGGGATAGGTATTCTCGTTTCTATTAATAATAATCTTTAAACGACTATTTCCTTGAAATATTGATACCTATTATTTGAATTAGTGTTCTAGGTTTACATGAAATCTGATAGATATCTAAATGATTAACACTGGTAATACACAAAATGTCATTTGTTTATCACTTATTTTTGAAAATCAATACTACTGCCAGTTTTTATCAATCTTTGGTTGTTCAGTGTATTATTCTCATTATTGTATAGTGTTTTAATACAGTCAAACTATTATAAGAAAATTAGTTAAACATTTGTCGGATATGGTAACACTTTTGATTTAACACAACATATTGTGAACTTCCGATAAAACATATATTCATAGAAAGTCCGAGGAAGGAAATGATGTAAGATTCTATAAATTAACTAATTGACAGCATTTAGATGGGGTATTCATTTGTGATTTTCATCAGAGATACCTATATACCGCGCACCTTACAGCAATGCAAACATTGCAGTTGCATTATGCTGCTTTAAATGTTTCAACTAATAAAATATATTACTTCGTGTATTTATTTATCGGAATTTGCACAAACCTCAAAATATATCCTGAAATTAATATCTTAAAATTAAAGTAGAAACATTAGTGAATTTTTTCATCGTCCTCTGGAGAAACGACTGTTGTATGACGATCCATCGACTAAATATGCATCATACAACGAAAACTCCAAAAGAGCAAAACTGGACCAATATATTTGTGGATAAAGAAATTTATCACCCAATATACAATATTGCATTAGTTAAAGGTTAAGTGGGTATATATATCCACAAAACATTTATAGATTTGAATACAGACATATATTCTACAGTAATGCAAGGCTAAGTTGTTCAGGTAAACTGGAAACCATTCTGCCTTAGAGAAGTTGAACGATTGTCCATTCTTTTCTGAAGTATAAATTCCAAACATTACCAAACAAAACATTCATACTATGAAAAAGTCCTGTGAGATTAGTAGAATTCGTATTACATTGGTTTATTTTACAATGTGGGAATGGTCTATGACACTGCAATAAAGGAATTATGGACATTTTCGAATTCATCAGTCAAATTGCGTGGCGGTAGCTTAGAATATATAAGTTATAAGACAGCGTATGAATGCTGTAGAATAAAGGAAAGTTAAATTGTATCAGGGATTGTGATTATAACATAAAATGGCCAAATCTGAGAGAACTGGATAGAAGTAAACGAATATTTGTACATATAAATAGAGAGAAATTCGAAAATCTTTAATATCTTGAATCTCTCATAGGTGAGATCTTGAAAGATTCTGATTTCTCAAAATACTAGAAATAGGCTGCTCTGTGTTTCGACTTAAACGGGAAATTTCAGCATTTAACCGTGCATTAATCATCGCCTGCTCAACATTATGTTCAACTTCTTCATCTTCCTCTTCGTCTTCCTTTTCAATATTTTCCCCTTCTTCATCATCATTTTGTAAACTTTCTTTAGCTAGCTTTACAGCCAAAAATTCGTTGTAATGTTGCTTCCGTTTTTCACGAAATTTTCTCTGATGTTCATCTTCCTCCTGGTCAACTTTTGTGGCACTTGGCTAAGATCAAAAAAATTAAATTAACAATAAGTATTACGTAGATTGAGATTTTCATGTCATTAAAACAATTTCATTCAATTAATTTAAACAGAACAGTGTAATACAACAAAGATGCAGATCATAGACACATTCTGATTCATATGGTTTCGGACATTCCGTAGTTATCAATTTTTCAAGCTCGTTCATCTATCTCTTCACAGCTTCACTCAATTTGTCTTGGTGCGTATTTGTACCGATATACAAATGCTGACACGAGCACCAACCTCAAAGTTTTGTAGTTAGATTTAGAGCTACTTATGTGAGCACAAATATCATGCGATAAGCATACTGAAGGTTTATTTGACTAGGTCTCATAAGAATAAGAATATTCATCTGCAGCAAGTGCATCTAATTCTTAATAGATAGATCATGGAAATCACTTTTTGTAAATAAATAACAAGCAAGTAGAAGCCATCACATTATACACCTTGATAACATTAAAAAACCAATTGTTGATATAGTGAATCATTTTTCAAGATATTCAAGAGGCACTTCATGTAGTAGGTTGATTGTCTTAAAATAAATATTAGAGGGTAGTAACACAATGTTATAAGTAGTCAACTTGCAGCTAGCATTTTCAGGAAGCGTGCTGCTTAACATACCGCATAAACGAAGGTTTAGGCTTGGTCGCTGAGACCCATTAGTACATATTACATAACTTGTTTATCAAGTGTGAGTTCATGCGCTAAGCTTTCAAGCAAACTGTGTGACTAGTGATATTAACCGATTACTAAAAGTAAGGTGGAACGCGGTTTAATCGTACGACTTACTGCTTGAAAGTCGAGTGCATTAACTACAAAGTCACGGCTACATAAGGTGTCTTGACTATTATCCGGCCTAGGGTGGTGTGAGAACGTCCTATTTCTACATTAAATTGCACTTTTTCTCTTCCATATTTATAATCACCATTTTATGTTTACTTGACCACTAGTTTCCATAAATGCCTTGACAAGTATATGAGTGGCTAAATTGTTCAAAACGTATAGCGCAAATACATTAGAAATTTCGGATTAACTTCGTCTACTCATTCATTTATTAAAAAAGTCTTCCGATTGGTTAGATAGCGATGAATGTTGAGAATTATTCACAAGAAATAACCAGTCTAGCTTAACAGTTGAGATGAGGCAGACCATTTACGCATACACATGTCATGTAAATACCACTTAAAAGGAGACATATCTTCTGTTCATATAGACTGTATCAAGAATATTTGTGCGATACAGTTTCACTGATGGAAAAAGGACAAGTCATTCGTAACATACTTCACTTATTGCCGACCGACATAATGCTTTCGTGTTCAACACAAGTATGTTAAATCCGTACAACTGTATACTGATTTTAGAATAAAAAATTTGACGGAGGGTGTGACTAACTAATATATTACTTTAATCCAAACTTGTCCTCGGTTGTGTGTCATTCAGTCAGTAACAACGTAGGACTTCGTACGTACGTACATCAGTTCGAGTTGCCGCACCACATAAGCACAGAGGTGCAGTTGTCGATTCAAATCCCATAGTGGTAGAGGTGGTAAAAGTATAGGCAGTAATCGGAAATATTAGGGTTTGAAGATGTTATTCAAGGAGTATAATGCAGTGAAATAAATTTAGAAAGAAAACAAGGGACATGAAGAATTCAGAAGATTAGAATTCGGGAGAACACAAAAAATGGATGCACCTGCACCACGGCAAACGATTTTGAACCATGTCATTCAAGGTCTCTAACCATCGGTTGCTATCATCTCGCGGTCCCCAACCAGGTAGTCTACACCTACCAACATGGCTCAGTCTACTTGTCAGTGACTTCATAGACTTGTGCCATGTTTTGGTCTGGCCTCCCCTAGCTTTCTTCCAACCTGCTCCTACACCATAAAACATCGCACGTCGAGGCAGTCGGTGGTTGGGCATACGTAACACGTGTCCCAGCCATCCCCACTGATGAAGTTTCACTACGTCATCAATTGATTTGCCATCCTTACCTAGTACCCGTTTCCTAACAAGTGCATTACTTACTCGATGGTCCCAGGATATACGAGCAATGTTTCGAAGACACCTATGATCAAATACTAGTAACCTACGAATATCCCCTACTCTTACCGGCCATGTTTCACTGCCATAAAATACGACGGAACGAACTGCTGCGCAGTAAACACGTCCTTTGGTTGGTAGGCGGATACCTCGCCTACGTCATAAATGACGCAAGTTAGCAAAATCTATTCGAGCCTTCTGTATCCGTGCTGAGATTTCGTCACAAACCAGACCACAAGGGCTAATGAGACTTCCCAGATAAGTGAAGCGATCGACACGCTCAAATAATTCACTCCCTATCATTAGTTCGGGTGTCAATGCAACCCAATCCTGAAGCAACATTTTGCATTTCGAGGGAGAGAATCGCATTTCGAACATGCTTGCATTGTTCCTTATAGTGGTCAGCGTCTTCATCAAATAAAACTATGTCATCGGCATATTCTAGGTCAATAGGTGAATCTCCCGATAGAAGTTCAACCCCTGTAAATTTAGATGAGGAAAGTGTTTTCTCTAAAAGTACGTCAATGACAAAGTTGAACAAGAATGGAGAGAGTGGACAGCCCTGACGAACACCACTTGAGGTAATAAATTCCGATGACAGTTCGCCATAAGCTCTCACTCTACCAGTTTTGTTCGAGTAGAGAGCCTTTATAAGGTTAATATACTTCTTTGGTACTCCTTTCAGTGACAAACACTGCCATAGAACCTCACGATCAACAGAGTCAAATGCCGCCTTAAGGTCGAGAAATACTACGATTGCGGGGCGTCTGAATGTGTCTATGTTCTAGGACCTGACGTAGTGTGAATATCTGGTCTATACAACAACGTCCAGGTCTTAAACCAGCCTGGTTTACTCTAGTTTGCTCTTCACGAGCTTTAGTTAGGCGTCGAAGTATTATTGAAGCTAATATTTTAGACAATATATTAGTTAAACTGATTCCTCAGTGATTGTCACAAGAGGACTTTTCCCCTCTCTCATAGACTGGCACAATCAGTGATTGAGACCAGTCAGATGGGATCACGTCTAGTTCCCAGATTCTACCTAAGACCTCAGTTAATCTCACTGCTAATACTGGACCACCATCCTTAAAAATCTCAGGAGTGAACCTGTCAGGGCCTGCTTCTCTCCCTCGCTTCAGATTTCCTATGGCTTTTTCAGCTTTGTGAAGAGACGGAGGACCTACATTTACTTGCCATTCAGGTTGACTAGAGATCGTGGGAAACCGAAGTGTGGCTGAAGGCCAGTTGAACTGATCCCTAAAGTGTTCTGCCCATCGATCCAATCTCTTGGATTGAGAATGAATATGTCCATCTTTCTCTGAGAGTGTTTCGCTAACGGTCGGGTTCCTAATACCGGTTTCCTTAACAAGTCTGAACAATTGTTTGCTATTACCTATTGCCGCTGCCTTTTCCATCTCTCTTGCTTTCGCTACCCACCACTGTTCGCAATCATTGCGTAGACTTCTTGTCAGCTTGCGCTTAAGCTGACTCCGCTCTTCATTATGTTCAGTGCCAGGTGAAATGAGTTTCCGAGCATCTATCAGTGCGATATATGCTGCTGAGATCCAGTGTTTCTCTCTAACCTCGTGGTTTACCGTACTAGCAGATATCACTGCTGTTTCCACAGCTTTTCGGGTATCATTCCATGCTGCCTCGGGGTGGGCATTACATACATGGCTACCTAACTGTTTCTCTAGTTGTTCCTGAAAGATACTCTTAGCTTGACTAACATTAAGTAGGGCCCCAAGAGGTTTCCTTGCAGCGTCTTTCCTACGTCCAGTAAGACGCAGACAAATACGCGCTCGCACTAGAGCATGATCTGAATCTAAGCATGTGCTTTAGAATGAGCGACAGTCTTCTATCGAGCCCCTCCATCGGTGGCTGATAGCGATGCGATCTATTTGGGTTCAACGTTGGGACGAATTAGGGGATCGCCATGTTAAAAGATATTTTTGCTTATGCTTAAGGTTGGTATTTGCAAGAAAGAGGCGGTTATCTGAGCATAGCTGCAACAGACGGTCGCCATTATCTGTTCTTTGAGCCACGACGCTATAAGACCCACCCAGGTGTCTTTCCCTTACGCTTAGTTTACCTACTTGAGCATTAAAGTCACCAGCCACTATTACTACATCTGAGCGTCTAGCTTTTCGGAGAAGCTTTCTGTAAAACTCATCTTTTACATCATCTGAGCTGCAGTCAGTAGGAGAATAGGCAGAGACGACGAGTGTCCCTATCTTTCCGAGTTCTTACTGTTCCATTTAGACGGTTGTGTGATTAATTCTAATACCTTATATGTATACTATTTCAATTTACCAATCTTTGATTGCTTATCCACCCATATATTTGTTAATCATCCAACTAGAACTTCAGTCTAATCGTGTTCATTACTGCTGTAAATGTCAGTTAATTCAATTAGTTAAGTATATATTCCTATTCGCAATCTTATTTAATCCATTAATCCTCGGTCAGCAAGTTAAAAACGACAAACATAACCAGCCGATCGGCTACAACGTGGAACCAGGCACATATATGCATCGGTCCAAGTTGCCACACCTCATTAGCACAGCAAGACAAACAACGGGCTCATAGTAGTTAAGTCAATGGTGGTAACATATAAAAGGAAGATTGCATATGAGGATATAGTACAAGAAGAAATTAGTTCGTAGAAAGAAAGACATGAAGCGATTTTAATCTCATAGTTTAAGGAAAGACAGAGAGTGTATACACCTACACCACTGTGATCGATTCTGAGCCATGTCAACCACAGTCTCCAACCATTGGTTATGATAGTCACACGGACCCCAACCAAGTAGTCTACGTCTACCAACATGGCTCAGACTAGAAGTTAGTGACTTCAAGCACTGATGCCACGTTTTGATAAGACAAACATAACGGTTGCCTACAACGCAAAATGTGAGTTGTGAAGAGGCTTTTGATCCAAGTCAAGTGACGGTATAGACCTGCACTGAGCTGTTGAGAATGTTGATCCATAGCGTGATGATGATTAAAGTAGGATTAGGTTAGGAAAAAGAATGGCGAAAGATATTCCACAAGTGCATGAGTCCACTAACCGCTAACCTAAGTTGTGTACAGTGACGCATACTTGGCGACTACGATCCTCGAGAAGAGGCATAACAAAAAGTCATGATTTGAAATTGTCGAAATCGAAAAAATTCATCCGTTTTCTCTCACTTATCTGTTCTTTTTGACTGTGTTATAATCTCTTTTTTCTTACTTACGGTTATGACCCAGCTATTCCTATTGCTTAGTATTCTCGGACACTGATTCACTCGACAAGTCCCAAAATCGGAACACGGTTGAACAGGAAAGAGATTATATTCCAAATAGCAAGTCAGAAGCACAATAGGGAAAAACGTCAGTATATTTATAGTTTTTACATAAGAAGATTCCAGAGTATTCTCCAACTATCGACTAGTGCTGATTGGATAAGAATTAGCCTATCAGCGTGCACCAAAGCAATCATGCATTGAGCATGCTTTAATCTAGTCTATGTCCCGCTAACAGACTGTTTTTCGTCTATCTAATTCGCTTAGCTTCTAACTTTTTCAAAATTGGATTTGATTCGTTACTAAGATCCTTCTTCACGTATCTAAACTGACACAGCATAACAAGGACTAAGCGATCTAGATATTTTGAAACAATAACTAGTAAAACAATGATAAGTCGTTGCTTCAAATAGCCTAGTGGTTTACAAGTGGATGATCTTAAAAGCTTCACAAACAAAGTGATAGCTGCCGACATAGCTAAAGATTACCTGAAAGTTTTTCGGACTAGTGTAGTAAACATAAACTTAGCTGGCAACAACAGAATCATTACTTTCAAAATAAATTGGCATTAGGTACACTCCTATGTAGGCAGCCAGAAATCTGAAATGATTGGACATAACAAATGTTCCCTAGGTTTTTTCTCAACCTGTGAAGCTTGCTTCAACAATGTTCATCCTAATTTGATAGGACCATTACCAAATTCAAATAGATATGCTTACATCTTGACGTGTGTGAACCGTAACACACGATGGCCAGAAGCAGTACCTATCAAGGACAACACGGCTGATACGGTGGTCTACACCGCCAAATGATGAGTGGTTTACTTCGGTTGCCCTTCAACCATCACTACAGACCGTGGACGCCAGTTCCAATCTGGACTTTCTGTTGTCTCACTACACTACTAGGAATTACACCATTCCAAACGACCGCCTACCACTCACAAGCCAACGGGTTGGTAAAACGATTTCATCGACAGTTGAGGGCCTCGCTTTCAGCTGACAGTGTCAAAATGGATTGAAGCTTTTCCACTAGTATTACTCAGTATTCACAATGCAGTGAAAGTTAACATTGGGTAAATTGCAGCACAACTCGTTTACAGAACGACACCGTTTTAAAAGAATTTGTGGGTCCCCCTTCTTCCTTAATGAATGTAGGTCTAGTCATACACGAGCAGACTTACAAACGCTATGCATTTAATTAAACCCGTTTCGACACAACCGCAATCAACTGTTTTCGTCCGACGTGTCTTATAACAAAGTACACACGTTTTAGCCTGTCACAACTTACTACGATAATCTCTCAAAATGACGTACGAAGGGCCGTTCAAAGTCCTTCATCGCAAACCTAAGTAATATATCATCGATAAGAACAGAATTAACGATAACGTCAGCCCTGACCGTCATAATACTGTTTATCTAAATAGAGACTAATTACTTTGAGTCTCCTGTACAATCAAACGATGCGAGCCCCAAAATTACGATACCACCCCCGATAAACAACAACCACGACGAAACTTCGCTGGTATCCGAAAACCGGCCGAAAGAGTTCTGGAAAAAATAAGATATTCAAAACACTCAAACGACACTGCATAACGTTTTATTTTATCTCGTTTCTTGCGCCCCACAATAAATCTTAGGTTTTTTTTCCGTATCTTTGCATCAAAAAGATCGTTCGCTTTTAATATGTTTATATGCGTATATTTTTTTCTCTCTGAGAAAACCAAAAAACAACTTTTTGCACAGAAATTTCTCACGCTATAGCATGATATATGTACGCATATATACTAGGTTATTTCGCACCTTCTGCTTCCTTCGCAAGTGCGAGTGTATCTTGACATACGCTCAAACTTTGACTTGTTCTCTTTTCCAGGGCGGTTGGAAAAGATGAAAAACTAACGAATACGATTAATCGAAATTTCCATTGTACATTTGGTATTGTTATATTGTACCTTATGGCCCCACATATTGGAGAAAGACGACCAGATGTTGCTGGACATAGAAAGCTATCAGAAGAATTTTTTACTGACGACAAGCTCGTTGGGTTGAAACTTCCGGTTGATCACGTCCTAGGGTCATCATTACACTACTAAGGCAAGTGAACTACAATGGCAAATAAATGCTCAAGACAAATTGTCACAATATGTGGTAAAAGCGGCAATGAATCCCAAAACCAAAGAGTCTATACTGTTATCATTTTTGATAGTTTATAAAGAACTAATTAAGGGAAGTGAACTGTGTGAAAAGGAACCTGAACGATGAATTACCTTCTGAAAATGAGCAAACACTAAAAATGCGGACACGCTACAAGAACATACTATTTGGTATATGCATGAAGAGTGTAGTTTCCCAGGAAATATGGAGAAAAGAAAACACGTAGCTGAAGAGTCCTAAATATACTGGGTAGTGAGTTAATAAGTTCTGGATTTCAAATACGGTTAATAAAGTAAGGCATTTCAAAAATCAACTACATCAAAATAGTGATACAGATATTGCTTTTACATAAGGTAATCAGGCATAAAATACTCCGAAATAATAGGGAAATAAGTGTAGAACTTACTAACTGCTGGTCGGGATCCTTTGAAGCCGCAGAAAGCCTGGCAGCTAAATCTTCTGCAGTAAATAAGGGTCCAGAAGTGACGGCAGAACCATCCTCAGGATCAAAAACGTAAGGTGTTTTCGGTTCTTCAATTTTCATATGACCATACGTCTTATCTGCGGGATGATAAGTAGCTAGAATATTTGATTCATCCCACTGGAAGCTCTTCTGCGGTATCTGATCACTAGACTTTTTCAATATACTTTTAGAAACCTTTCTTTCTTCTGTAGCCTTGGACATCGTGAAAGTAGCGCACTGTTTCAAATGGTTTCAGGTTCTAGACGGAATAGAAACTTACGCTCAATGGGCTTCCGTATCTAGTAGCAATGGAGTACCGATGTCTGCATGTAGTTACCAAGGCATATTTAACAATAGAAGAGAAAAAGTTGTTTAATTATAGCGAGTTGCCGTCTCTAGTCCTTAAGAATACGTCAAGTTTTCTCCTAAAGAAATCATTGGAAGTCGCTTGGGCTGGCTAAGCCAGCTGTTGACCACTCCCAAGGAGTCGAAGGTATACCTACAATCTGTTCTGCTATGTTGTGCCTCCAGTTTCTGGGTATCACCCCCAGTGTTTGTGTTGGGACTGAGCTAAATAGGCGTTTGAGGGGATGTCTAGAAGTGCTTAGGATGCTATGAGTCATCAGGATGGTACTTTTAAGACGTCTATAATCAAGTGGTAAAGGTTCATTTGTTGAGGGAGCTTCTCATAAGACTTAACTGTGAGTCCGTGGACTGATTTCGTGACTCACCGCTGAATGCGTTTCAGTGTGTCCTTATCCTTTCGGAGTGAGGGAAGAAACACGAATAAAGCGGTTGAAGATTAGGTAGGAAGTCCGTTATCCCAAGTGGTCGAAAATGCTATTCAGCGTTACTAGTGAAAGGTTTGCTCGAAAATCATTTTTGTCGCATTTAGCGTAAGATTTCATAGGGTACCAACACTCCCAGATCTTTTTCGCCTTGGGATACCTCTAGGTGGGAGTTACCCAAGTTAAAGTCGTGGTCTACAACATGTCTCAGGTGGGCTACTTCACAATTTTGAGTGTTAAAGATAAGTTTGTTGTTATCAATCCACTGTTTAAGTCGAGTCAAATCCTCCTGAAGTGCCAGTTTATCCTCTTGGTTGCAAACATTTTTCCAGAGCTCCTCATCATCAACGAAAAGTAATGAATCTGACGACGCATTCTTTGGAAGACTGTTTGTGTAGACTAAGAAAAAATAGGTCTTTTTACCGAACCCTGGGGGACCCCAGTAGAACATTCTGTAGCCTGAGAAAAAATGAAGTTAACACTGATTTTATAAAGTCAGTTAATTAGATATAAAGTAAGACAATCAACTAATGGTAATTTAATACCTAATCGTTTGAGTCTACTGATGACAGATATACGATTGACCTTGTCAAACGCTTTTCAGAAGTCAAGATATATAACGTCAACCTTCCCATTGCGACCGAGGATGGTTGTCCATCTGTCCACCGTGTTCATTAAGTTGGTTTTACAAGAGTGACTTTCTGAAACCGCGCTGTTGGGGTGAAAAGAAGCTTACGAATAGTAGCATTTTAGCATTTTAGAGTATTGAGAGAAGTGCTACTAGCCTGTAGCTTATAGGTTCGTTGCGTCGACCTCCTTTAAAAATTGGTGTAATGTAAGCCAGCTTCCAGTTTTCTGGTATCGTGTCATGAATTTGCGAACGTGAGAACATCACGCTAAGCGGTGTTGCCATGTCTGAAGCTACTTCCCTCAGTATAGCAGAATGAAAAATGTACGGGCTAGGAGGTGTCCTTGTTTAGGTGTTGCAGTTTCTAATACTTCCGAGAGTCCTGTGGAGTTGTATGTAAGGCTCCCATCAATATAGTTAGTACATAGCGGTCAAGGTGTCTCAAAATACTGTTCCGCCAGAAGGTCGACGGAGTCACTGTCGTTGTTGGTTGGGCATTCAGAACTTAGAAACTGGTAAACTCCGATTTTGGCTTGTCGAATAGAAGCTGCGTGATAGAATAAGCTTTTCGGATCAAAGCTAAATTTGTCGACTGGCTTTATCTGATACTGGAGACTGTCTTCTATTCTTGCATTTGTACATTGTTACCTTGTTTGCTTGGATTGCCTGTATGAGCTTTTGCTACCAGTTAGTCCGTATTCCGCCACGCAGTACTGTAGAATTGTGGTCTACTTCGTTATTAGTACTGCTCTAATAATATACTTAATTATAAAATTGTAGATTCGTCGTGTTTTAACTGCTTGATTTATAAAATCCTATGTGGAAGTCACATCATTGTCTACACTGACTCATCGTATCATAACAATTACCAATATATGATGAATAACACCTCCAGGTTAGATATAGAACATCATATTTAATATGAGTAAAAACAAGTTATGTAGAATGATTACGCCCGCAAGGCTGAGTCATGCCACGCAACTGAATTGACCTTTGAATGAACGTTTCTGCATTCACAATTATTGAACTTCTCTTAGTGTTACATATTGAAAGTCTATTTTTCCAGTTATCTCATGTTCAGCTTTGAGGATTGTATTAAGGATACAGTAACACTAAAGTATCTGTTGTAGCGTAGCAAACGAAGACTGAGATTTTCGATGACTTTAGTTTGCTTGTAATTTTGTGGACCGTTTGCGGAACAGGTTGCTTCGTAGTAAATATGAAATTTCAATGAGCATCCATATCAAGTTGATGGTGAACTTTATAGTCCATCTGTAGTGCACTGGGACCTAACCACATAATCCTCAAAGCTGAACACGAGACAACTGGAAAATAGATATTCAACATTTAACCCGACGATGGAGAAAGCAGGAAAAATGGATTTAATCAATTCGAATTGATCGTATGGCATGGCACAACCTCGCAGACATTGTCGCTCTGTCTAACTTCTTATCATTCATATTGAATATTGTTGTCGTATCTCCAACCAGAATGTGTTCTCCATCATATATTGGCAATTGTTATGATACGATGAGTCAGTGTAGACAATGATGTGACTTCCACATAGGATTTTATAAATCAAGCAGTTAAAACACGACGAATCTACAATTTTATAATTAAGTATATTATTAGAGCAGTACTGATAACGAAGTAGACCATAATTCTACACATCTGCCGTAGATTGTCCTGGAAAACTGTGAAGACGCTCCCACAAGTGAACTCAAATAAGCTCTGAAAGGCCGGAGACATTACATCCAATCTTTTAGAACAACACTCCAGAATCTTGACGTTTAGCTTCTCTATTGAACAAAATCTAAAAGCTACTGCATGCGGACTGGATGACCACAAGTACTTGAGAGTCTTGTACTTGGGGGGAGGTTTCGGCGTTCGAGTGCTCAGGTAGTACATATGTAGAATTATGGTCTACTATGATATTAGTACTGCTCTAATAATAGACCCAATCCTATAATTGTAGATTTGTCATGATATAACTGCCTATAGCCGTTTAAGCTCTAGATATAATTAAAAATGGCGCATTCACCGACATGAAATTCCAATGCTTGTTGTTTGTAAGATGTCTCAGCTCAATTTTGCTGGTATGACTGAGGACTACCATGGCATGATCACTTTAAACTTAGAAGAGCTGAGACTGAGAGGTTGTCAATTAGAAATTCTTCGTTCGTAAATACACAGTCTGAGTGCGGTGGTGCCCGAGTATTTCTCCAACGAGTTGCATGTTGAACATTTTCGAATAACCTCAGATGTTCAATGAGGTTTAGGAACCCAGCTTCACCAGAGTTTTTACCTCTAGTACACGTGTGTTCAGAGGAGTTAAGCTTAGGAAGGTTCAAGTCTCCCGGAGTCGGGTTATGAAAGTATCCGAGACAAGTAGAGCAGGATAATCCTTCCACCATATGAAAGTCGATTTCAATGAGCTTATTGTAGATGATCCCGACTAAAAACAATCTTACTGAGCACCATACAGATTCATCAGGACTGATAATCTCTCGACTCTACAATTGATGCGCTATCAAGCAAGATTTCAGGTACAGGGCGATTCCGCCTCTTCCTCATTTCTGTTATTCTGTCGTTCCGAAACAATGACATGCCCAATACTGCTAGCTCCTGGTCGATAACTTAAGAAGATATCAACGTTTCAAATACTTCCATCAAGTGAGTATTATTAACATTACTATGTTCACGCTATTCATCCATTTTATTCGGCAAAATCGCGTCTTCCGTATGTAGACACTTTATACTTTCAATTTGAACGCGTGAGCTTCGCTATCTATATCTTGAAATCATGAGCATATAATAAAACGTATGATGATGGGAGACTAGGAAGGTCTTCAACATGCAGGAGGAACAACACTGGTCCAATCAGTGTATAATGAGGCACTCCGGTAAACAAAATTTTCAGATATATTATTTTTAGTTCACCTACACACTCCGTTGACGCTATAATAGGAAGTCCTTCATCCAGACTAATGAATTGCCTCCAATCTCAATACCACTCAACTTATATAACAGCCGGTTGAGAGGAGCTTCGTCAAAAGTCTTTCTGAAAGTAATGTAGGCTACACATATAAGTGAATTTCGACTCTTAAGAGCACATCAATTTTTACAGGCTACTAAGAAGCTAGTGAGACATGAACGACCTGTTTTAAACCCGTGCTGCTTTTTAAAATGAATCCAGTTTTCGTTGACGTACTTAAACAACTCGTTCTTAATAGTCTTTTCCGAAATTTTAACAACCACATTGGTTAGGCCTACGGGTAGACAGTTTTCTAGTGTATACCTCGTAACTGTTTTGAGGACGACTTATGATAGCATTCTTCTTGTCTTTTGGTAAACCATCCTGCGTTACAGTTAGGCAAGAACATATGCTTGAGGGATTCGCGACAAAATTTGCTACCTCCTTCAGTAACCTAGGACGTATTTAATAGGGTGCCGTGGGTTTTTTATATCAAGTTCATATGACAGACCAAAGACATCGAGTTGTTTAATGGTTGCTGTTTAAAATGTATGTGTAACGACTGAACTGCTAGTATTCGGTTTGAACGCAGGACTGATGAACCAAAGTTTATTCGAACAGGCCGGAGTACGTTCTTCTATATAGCGTACCAAGCGTTTTTGAGATACTCGTATTAGATTGTATCAAAACACAAACTCTGTGCTGAATTTAGACGGTTCTAATTTAGGAAATACAACAAATTATATCAAAGATACAAAATACCTCAAACGGTACAGCCTTTGCTATACAGTCAGAGGTTTCTCTAACGCAAAGTAGCGCGCTAAACAATAAATGAAACATTTAATAACAA